AAGCAACCACAAATCCTTTTGGTCAATCCCAATTCACAGAAATTTGCCAATGAAGTTCGTTATGCCGTAACCGACAGTCAATTGTTTTCATTTGTTGCCGGAGGGGGAGAAGAACCCAAAGTCTTGGCCGAAGTTCCAGATATTGTGGCTGCCGAATATTTAGCTTTGGATAATGAAATATGTTTGGCCACCCGAGGTGGCGAAGTGTTGCTCGTGAATCCGGAAACGCTGCAAATGAACGAGGGCACTTTTTGTGATGTTGGTATCGAATGTATGGCATGGAGTCCCGATCAAGAAGTTGTTGTTTTTGTTACCAAAGAACATAATGTTGTTGTTATGACCTGCACCTATGATCCGTTGACAGAGCATCCATTGTGTGATGATCAGGCGGAGGCAGAGGGTGGTTTTGTCAATGTGGGTTGGGGTAAAAAGGAGACACAATTTCATGGTTCCGAAGGTAAGGAGGCGGCGAAGAGGAAACAGGAGGTCGAGACGCCCGTCAATTTGGAGGAAATTAATAAGGTAAGTATTTAAGCAGAGGACAAGAAATTGGTTTTCAGTTTCCGATTCGGGGTCCACGTTTTGACATAGTTCCTACAAAAGGTCCCCGACTGATTTTATGCCCTTTGAAGGTCCTAGAGGTCCTACATTTTTGTAAATTCGATTTCTTCAAAACTAAAAAACCTTTTTGTGGGGTCCATGTTTTAACATAGTTCCTGCAAAAGGTCCCCGACGGATTTTAGGCCCTTAGAATGTCCTAGAGGTCCTACATTTTTGCAAATTCGATTTCTTCAAAACTAAAAAAACCTCTTTGTGGGGTTCATGTTTTAACATAGTTCCTGCAAAAGGTCCCCGACGGATTTTAGGCCCTTAGAGGGTCCTAAAGGTCCTACATTTTTGCAAATTCGATTTCTTCAAAACTAAAAAAAACTCTTTGTGGGGTCCATGTTTTAAAATAGTTCTTGCAAAAGGTCCCCGACGGATTTTAGGCCCTTAGAAGATCCTACATTTTTGCAAATTCGATTTTTCTAAAACTAAAAAAAAAATATCGAAAGTTTTCTATGTAGTTCCATGTTTTTTTAATAGGCCCACTCTCAAGGTTCCGCATATTTTCGTTAAGATGAGGGTCCTAGTGAAATTTCAGTAATTTGGAACATAGTTTTCCCAAAAAAAAAACTCCTGACAACTAAGTTTAAAAAAATTAAGATCCTAATTCGGCATTTGAAGACCCTGGTCTCATTTATATACCGATGTTGCTGTGATTTGAGGTATTTCGGGTTTTGTAGGCTTACAAATTTATCCGAAGAATATTTTTTAATATGGTTTCATGTTTTACAATAGGCCCCAATATGAAGGTTCCGACCGGTTTTTTATATTTGAAGATGCTGGCCTTATTGTCCAAAACAAAGTTGATCAAAAAACCTCACGCAAGATAGATTTCGGTGTAGGTCGATGTCGATGTTTTGCAATATAAATAAGGGGGACCTTTACCTCATGTAATGGCAAATTCGGAAAATTCTAGGTTCCAAATCTATTTTTTTTAATGAAGTAGCTGCAATTTGATATTTTGGGGTTTTAATACATAAAAATAGTTCCTTGTAAAAAGTTTCCAATGTAGGTCCATGTTTTGGAAAACTTATAAACATATAGCGGTCCCCCACGATTTTAGGTTTCTAAAGGACCTGACCTTATTTTCCAATCGAAATGGTTGTAATTTGACATTTCGTTGTCTTAAAAGGAGGAAAACATATTTGGTGAAAATTTTCAATGAGGGACCTAATTTTAAGATAACCTCCATCGAAGGATCCGCATCCGTTTTAGATATATTGAAGACTCTAGCTTCATATTCCAAACGAAGTATCTGCAATATGACATTTCCGTTTATAACAGGCTTTGGAATTTCTTTTTGTTAGGTTCCTCATGGTGAAGGATACACAAATTTCGACCTGACCGATCTTATCGAAGTTATTTTTTAATATATTATATTCCTATTTTTTCCATTGCAGGACATCATCATTAGCTGGCGTGCCGATGGTGCCTATTTTGTCGTCTCCTATGTCAGTCCCTCAAAGGGCCGCACTTTCAAAGTATTCGACAAAGAGGGCAAGCTGCAATTTATTGGTGAAAAACAAGCCAATCTCTATAGTCCCACAGCCTGGAGGCCCTCCGGTAATTGGATTGCCATACCTCAAAAATTGCCCAATAAAAGTACCATTGCCCTGTTTGAAAAGAATGGTTTGCGTCACAGAGAAATCCCCTTACCCTTTGATTTGCAGCAAACACCCATTGAAGATTTAAAATGGAGTTCCGATTCAGAGATTCTCAGTATACGAACAAAATCGAAAATCTATTTATATACCATTGGTAATTATCATTGGTATTTGAAACAGGTGTTGGATTTTAATGAAATCCATATGGAAGGAGAAGAAGACGATGAAGTCACATATTACACCTGGGACAGTCGAATTGGCGAAGAGAAAACTGTACACATTATTTTCAAAAGTGGCAGATATTTAATCTACAAATGGTATTGGGCCATTGATCGTTTGAATCGCAGCGGTTTGGTGGCTGTAATCGATGGTAATCAATTGCTATTAAGCGATTTTTCGAAAGCTGTTATACCACCACCCATGTGTACCAAGACCTTGCAATTAGAATCCACAGCAGGAGATTCCTACATAACAACTGTAACCCTAACCCAGGCTCAAGATGAGGTACATTTGTGTATCTTGGATTCCAAGCATAAATTACATTATTACAAATCACACATGTCAAATGTGACCGCCTTCACCAGCCAAGGCTGCTTGGAGTTGCAAGGATCCGATATCACACTTCCTCTGCAATATGGCAACTTGCAATGGTTTGAAAGTTTTGAAGATACCTATTTGGTGGCCAGCTTCTCGCAAAACAAAACAAGTCAAATACACTTCCTTGCTGTCGATCTTCCAGACAGTTATAAAATTACAGTTGCTGTGAAAATACCTGGAATAATTTCCTGTCTAATACCCTCGGGAAAAGAACAACCCTGCGAGCTATTCTATCAAACCTTGGATGATAATCGCATAACCCAATTGGTTTACGATGTCGATTCGAAGCGGGAAACCTCAAGTCGCCTACACTTGGAATTGCAACAGAATATCGATCAAATGGAAACTTTTATACAACCCAACGATGCTGAAACCCATACCATTTGCCTGAGTAACAATCAATGTTTATATGTTGATCAGGAACGTATTGCCACTGATGTCACCTCATTTTGTATGGCTGGAAATTATTTAACCTTTACCAAGCTGACTTCATTGCATTTTCTGCGATTGTCCGATATGCGTTTGGTTGATGAACGCCGCTTGGAACGTGGTGCCAAGCTCGTGACAACTGTTCTTAATTCTGCACGCACTGTCCTACAAATGCCTCGTGGTAATTTAGAAGCCATTTGTCCCAGAGTTTTATCATTGGAATTAGTTGGTGCTCTACTCGATGTCCAAAAGTATTGCCTGGCCTTTGATGTGCTACGCAAACAGCGTATTAATCTCAATATTATTTGTGATCATAATTTGTGTACCTTTATGGAGAAAATCGATATATTCCTCGAGGAAATACAAAATCCAAATTGGTTAAATTTATTCCTCAGCGATTTGCAGAATGAGGTGAGTTATAATTGTTTTTAGATAATTCATAATTTCTTCTCTGAAGTGTTTCTCGTTGATAAAGAAGGGTCTCCTCATAGAAGACCAGAAGGTCTTCTCACAGAATACTTAAATATACTTCTTATAGAAGAGAAGAAGGTTTTCGAAAGTTTTCGAAAAGAATACCAGAAGGTCTATTCATAGAAGTCAGGAAGGTCTTCTTAAATCTTTTCAGAATATCTTTTCATAGAAGAGCAGAATGTCATGTTATAGAAGTCTAAAAAGTCTTTTTTAAATGACGCAAAGGACTATAAGTATGCATTTTTTATCCTAAGGCTTATAAAGGCGGATTTTAAAGTATATTTTTTGAAGGAACCTAAGGGGTCAACAAGCGTGGATTTTTAAAGAATATATTTTGAAGAACCCTTAGGGCAATAACCTAGGATATTTTAAAGAATATATTTAAAATAAGTCTATGGCCAATAAGCGTCGATTTTTTAAAAAACATTTTTGAAGGACCCTGTGGGTAAAAGGCGTGAATATTTTAAAGAATATTTTTAAGGGACCCTAAAACCTATTCGCGTGATTTTTTTTATTAAAAGTATTTGAAGGACCATAATAAGCGTGGATTTTTTTAACGAATATTTTTAAATGACCCTTAGACCAATTAGCGTAGATTTTTTAATGAAAACTTTTTGAAGAACCATAAGGCCAATAAGCATGATTAAAAAAACATTTTTGAGGAACCCTAAAGTATATTCGCGTGATTTTTTATTAAAAATATTTGAAGGATGATAAGGCTAATAAGGGTGGATTTTTTAAAGAACATTTTTAAAGGACCCTAAGAACAATTACTTTCTTACTTAGCTGGCTTGTGACAGAACTTTTGTTCCATAAGCCGAGCTTAGAAAATATTTCAGGCACGTTTTTCCAATTTGAATGACCATTTTCGGCGATGTTGTCTTCGACTTGATCTATACAACGTATTCTTGACCTACCCCTTCTGCGTGAACCATCAGCTGGTTCGCTTTTATATGCCTTCTGGGCGGGGGCATCTTCATCCTTTCTCATTCGACGGCGATATTCACCGTCAACGCGGATCGGCCCATAGATATTTCTGATTCTTGCACCAAAGTCTTCGGTTTGGTGTTTTACCTGTTGGTAGAATTTTCGGACTTCACTCCGGTACATCTCGATTTGCTCACGCCCACGTTCTTCTTGTTCTTTCTTCTTTTTCTGAAAATACGTTTCTCCTCTCTCCTTTTCTCTCGATAGTTCTCCATCGCATCACGTGTTGCTACTGTCCGCAGGGTTGCCCTATACTATGCGTTTTTTTTCATATCAGTAGCATTACGACACTCCTGATCGTACCTTGGTTTTCTTGGTTGTTGTTGTTGTAGCAGCTATTACTGCTGTGTGGTGGTTTTCTTGGTGGTGGTTTTTGGTACCCAAGTGTTGCTTTTGCTGCAGTTTGTTGGGAATGGACAATTATCTGCCATTGTGCTTCTATATTATTGTCGGGACAAAGGGTGCTTTCGTCAAGCAGTTGGGTAAGTTGAGCGGAGTAGGCTTTTGCTATATGTTGTGTTTGCAGCTTTTCGACGTAAAATTTCCGTGTTACATTAGATCGCACCTTTGCTGCTACATTAAGACTGGTGCGTACCTTTGCTGCCACAATGTAATGGTCCGAATCGATATTCGCTCCCCGGATCGATCGGACGTCTAGAACACTGGATGAATGCCTTCCGTCTATCACAACATGATCGATTTGATTTCTCGTTGTTCGATCGGGAGAAATCCAAGTGGCCTTGTGTATATCGAGATACTTGAATCTGGTGCTGCTAACTACCATGTTTTTCAGTGCCGCGAAGTCAATCAACCTCATGCCGTTGTCGGATGTTTCTTCATGAAGGCTGAATTTTCCGACGGTGGGGCCAAAGATATTTTCCATTCCGATTTTTACATTAAAATCTCCTGTTCTGTACAAGTGCGCACATTCCAAGTGCAGATTCGCAGATCGTGCTCCATTATACGTTTGCGGGGGTCGTTTGGGGTTTTTTTCTTTTTCTTAGTTTTTTCATAGTATGTTGGGTTTTCATTCCATTTGAAAATCCATCTTATTTTTTTTCCAAGCCTCTATGTGATATTAAAAAATATGTTTTTAAATCCACGCCTTTGTGGGATTTAAATTTTCCACGATTTTTTGAATCTTCAAAAAATAATTTAAAAAAATTCACGCTATTAAGGGATCTTAATTTCTGTTTTTAAATAACCAAACTTAGGATGGATATTTTTTAAATATGTGCCTTTGAGAGATTTTATATTTTTTCAAATTCACTCCTCCGCAGAATTTTGAAAACATATTACGATTTTTAGAGTTTCAAAAATATATTTTTAGAATTTTTAAAAATATTTTTTCAAATGTCTTTTTCTTCTTCGTCTTTCAGGACTTCACGAAAACCATGTACGCCAGTAATTACAAACAGGACTCTCAGCGTTATCCGGAGGCCTTTAAAATCGAAAACAAAGTGGAGTACATTTGCAAAGCCCTTTGTGTACGCATGGAACAATCGAGTGAGAAACGTTTCCGTCTACCCATTATTACAGCCTATGTGAAATTGAAACAGATTGAAAAAGCCCTTGAACTCATCTGGGAGGAAAAGAAACGTGAAAATACTCACAATGATTCGGCTGCTGCTGTCGGAGCTGAGGAAGCGCTCAAATATCTTCTCTATTTGGTCGATGTTAATGAACTTTATAATGTTGCCTTGGGCACATACGATTTCGGTTTGGTTCTCTTTGTCGCCCAAAAATCCCAAAAAGATCCAAAAGAATTTTTGGCATTCCTCAATGAGTTGAAGGGTTACGAATTGAATTATCGTAAATTTAAAATTGATGAACATTTGAAACGTTTCGAAAAAGCTCTACAGCACATTGCCAATTGTGGTCGTGAGAAATTCCCCGAAGCATTGGAATTTATCAAACGTCATGAATATTACGCGCGTTCATTGCAGGCCTATGAAAATGATCCGGAATGTTATAGGGAAATTTGTTTGGCATTTGCCGATCATTTGAGGGCAAATGGTAAATTGGAAAATGCCAGTATTCTGTATGAAAGAGGTGGTAATTTGCAGCAGGCTTTATTGAGTGCTAAACATACACTGGATTGGCAAAGGGCTCTGCTGTTGGCCAGGCAGGGTGATCAGGATTTGGCACAAGTGGCAGTGTAAGTGTGGGTCAATATTATCCAAAAGAAAAATATTTAAAAGTATGTTTTTCTTTTCCAGATCTTTGGTGGTACCATTGCAGGAACATGGCCGCTATGATGAAGCCTATCATTTGTCCAAGACCTATGGTCAAAATCTCAAGGAATCTTTACAGTTCCTTACCAAGGGAAAACTATTTTTGAAGGCCATATTTGAGGCTCAATTACAGCAAAGTCCAGATGATGAAGATTTATTAAAATCATTTGTCACCCCGGAATTATTGGCCTATCAAAGTGTATTACTCAATTCCATAACAGCCGATGAGGAATTATTTACCCAGCACAAGGAACGTTTGGCACAGGTGCGTCTCAATCGTCAAAAACAAGCACAATTCGGTGGCGATGATGATCAGGTTGATATTGATGAATGTGATTTGCTGTCGGATACTACAAGTTTGCGGTCATCACGTTACACTGCCAGTTCCAGAGGCACAGGGTAATTACTTATTTTTCATCCTCCCTTCTTTACTCATGATTGGGACTAACAAAATGTATTTTTTCTCTACAGCAAAACTTTCCGCTCGAGCAAAAATCGTCGCAAGCATGAACGCAAAATCTTAAGCTTGAAGCCAGGCAATCCATTCGAAGACATAGCCTTAATAGATGCCCTCTATAATCAGATAATACGTTGTTATGGTCAGCAGCAACATGTTCACGATACTTGCAAGGCATTGTTACAAGTGAAAGAAGATCAAGCGGCTTTCCAATTGCAAACAAGTTATAAACATCTTTTGGCAGTGATGCAAAATTCCCTCGATGACATTTGGATTGAAGAAATGTTACAGAGTTGTGGTCAACAATTTTTGCAAGGACCCAATGTGGATTATACCCAGCTGAAGAATGAACAACGTTATGCTATGCTAAGTAAGTTGGACGTTTTTTTTTCTTCTGAATTTATTTCATTCCTATTTTATTGAGAACATCACTTTTTCTTTTATAAAAAGAAAAGAAGCCCCTTTTAAGTTATACATATAAAAAGATGTCCTTTTGTTCTTTTAACAGAAGCCATTTTATCTTATATAAGAAGTCACCATTTAGTCCTCTATTATAAAATCTTTCGGTTTTCTAAAAAATTAAAAAAATAACAATTAGATTAAGATTAATTGATCTTCTATGAAAAATACCTTTAGTGCGTCTATGAACGAGAACTTTTGGTCTTCTGAAAGAGAACATTCGGTCGTCTACGAGAAAAAACTTTCCGTCTTCCATGTGATCTTCCATAAAAAAAAAATAAACAATTTTACATGGTATGAAGAAGGCCAGTGTTTTTCAATGTAAGATCATGTGGACTTGTATTAGAATATCAATTTGTCTTTTCTTTGGAGATGATTTGGACTTTCATGAGAAGAACAATAAGGATACATTTTTATCTTCTAGTCTTCTAAAAGAAGGCTTTCTTAGACACAAAGAACAACTTCTGGTGTTCTATGTTATAAGAAGAAATCATTCTCCAGGCTCCACGTCTTCAATGAAAAAATGTCAAGTCCTTGAAAAAAGTTATACTGCCCTACTATGAGAATGGGTGTCCTTCTGCCGCCTTTTGAATCTACTGTTAAAACTTGCTGGTCATCTTTGCTTTCTGGTATATTATGGAAACAAATTATCTTCTATGGGAAGAAGCCTTTCTTGTCTTCAATAGGAAAAACACTTTTTGCCTGCTATAGGAAGATAACTTTCTGGTATCCTATATTAGAGGAAGATTTTCTTGTCTACTACTAGGAAAAGTTCAAGTCCATTAAGAGAAGTTCTTCTGACCTTCTATGAGATCAATACCTTCCTCTTTTTCTATGAAATTACTTTCTGATCTTCTACGAAAACATGTCCTTCTGATATCCAAGAATATTGTAATTCAAAGAAAAACCCTGGTATTTGATCAAAAGACTTCTGAATCATTCATGAGATATTCATGGATATTCTGTTGGAAGACTTTGTGATATATGGAGAGAATGTCTTCTGCTCTTCTATATGAAGAAGTTTTTCTTGTTTTCGATGGAGAGAACATTTGGTCTGCTATAGGAAGGTAACTTTTTGGTACTGATATTTTGAGGGAAGAAATTTCAGTCTTCTAGGATCTATATGGTATCCTATTAGAATGATCATTTATATTCCCATAACTCATCCACCTGACCCCATTTTCTGACCTATTGATATTTTATAAGATGATTCAAACGAAAACTTTGATATTGGCCTCTAATAGTTCACATAAAATCTTGGGTCTTTTTCTATTCCAAAATCCAACCAACTGACCTTTCTTTCAGACCTCTTGGTCTTCTAAAAGAATACCTATTGGTCATTTCTGAGAAGAACAATTGGATCTTTTCTATTCCCAAGCCAAACTATTGATCTTTTATAAGAATACCTATTTTATTAGGCTTCTATAAGAAGTCCTAATGGGTTCCTATAAGAAGACCTATTATTGTGTTTCCATAAGAAGACCTATTGGGGTTCTAAAAGAAGAATTATTATTCATCTATAAAAAGACCTATAGGGTTTATATAAAATCTATTTGTCATCTATAAGAAGAGCTATTGTGGTTCTTCAAGAAGAATTATTGGTCATCTATAATTATACCTATAGGTTTCTATAAGAAGACCTATTTGTAATCTATAAGAAGACCTACTCGCCTTCAATAAGAATACCTATTGGGCTTCTTATGAACATCAATACGGTTTCTATAAGAAGCCCCAAAGGGCCATTATAAGAAAACCTGTTGGTTTTCTATTAGATGACATTGTTCTTCTATAAGATGGCTTATTGATCTTCTATAAGAAGGCCTATTGCGCTTCTGCAAAGAACCCTTTATATTTTCTTCTTACTTCTTCAATGATCTCAGAATAAAAACCGTCGCCGATGATCAAATCTAAACGGTCTGACATTTTTTGAATAAAGGATCTGTTAATGTATAGTTGTTCCGTTTTTCTATATTGACTACTCATAACTGTTGGTAGCCCTACAGCTTCGGTATCTTTAGTCTTCCATTCCCCATCATAGCACGAGTTCAGAGATAATAGATAAGAACTTCACGTTTTTTACGACGTTTCTAGAAAGTGGTTTTCAGATTTTTATTGGGGCTAATCTTTCTGATCCTTTATGGGGAAAATACATTCCGTTTTTCTATTGAAAAAAAACGTCTAGTCTTATAACGTGTAAAAGTCTTTTGGTTTTCTATGTGACCTTTTAGTCCGCTATTAACAGACTTGAGGTCTTCTTTGCAAAGACCAATTAGTCCCCTATAGGAAGACCTATTGAACTTTTGTGAGAAGAGTACTACAAAAGCCCCTTTATATTCTCCTAATTCTTTCTTAATTTCAGTCAATGACCAAATCTACTCTGTCAGACTTGTTAAATAAAGGATCTGTTCAAGTATAGCTGTTCCATTCTTCTACATTGACTGCAACCTCTGACAGACCGGTGTTATTTCATGGGATGACCCATTGAACTTCTTTGGGAAGACTGAATGAGAAGAACTCTGTAAAGAACTCTTTATCTTTTCTTTGGACTTCTTTCATAATCTCAGAATAAAAACCGCTGTCGATAATCAAATTCACTCTTTCAAACTTGTTGAATGAGGGTGTATAGTTAGGTTAGGTATATAGTTAGGTACTGGCAGAAGTGTGGTCTTCCAAAGGAAGTTCAATTAGTCATCTATGGGAATAAATGTTGGTCTTCTTTGGGAAGACTTATTGAAATTCTATGAGAATAACTCTGCAAAGAACCATTTTTCTTTTTCTTAGAATTCTTTCATGATCTCAGAATAAAAATCAACGCCGATGTTCAAATATATTCTGTCAGACTTGTTGAGGGATCTTTTAATTTGTAGTTGTTCCATTTTTCTATATTGACTACGAAATACTCTACTGCCAGAAGTGTGGTCTTCTATGGGAATAACTGTCTTCCGTGCGAAGAACTCTTTATCTTTTCCTTAAGCTTCTTCCATGATATCCGAATAAAAATTGCCGTGGATGTTCAAATCTACTCTGTCAGACTTGTTGAATGGGGAATCTTTTAAAAAATAGTTGTTCCATTCTTCTTTATTTACTACGAAGACTTATTGAACATCTATGAGAAAAACTCTGCAAAGGATTCTTTATCTTTTCTTAGGCCTATTTTCATGATCTCAGAATAAAAGTCGACGCCGAAGTTCAAATCTACTCTGTCAGATTTGTTGAATAAATTATCTGTTAAAGTATAGCTGTTCCATTCCTCTATATTGACTACGAATGATTCCTCCTCTGGCTGAACACTCATAAATGTTTGTAGTGCTAAAATTTCCTTCTATTATGTGGATTAATCTTAGCTGTACTTCAAAGGATAAACTCCAGCTACTTTCGGTATCTGTGCAAAGTATACATTATATTTCTTCAGACTTCTTCCATGATCTCAGAATAACCAGTAAGGAAAGTAGTAAAGTCGGACGGGGCCAACTATATGATACCCTTCACCACTATGGATATATTAAACAGGACTATTAACATGAAATTGGATGAAATAAAATATGTGATATTTATCTAAATGTGAATCTACCTATATATCCATAAGTTATATAAATCGACTTCAATCAAATATAAATAGGTTATCTGTTGGGCTATGTCTGTACTTCTAGAAAACGCAACTACGTAATTCTATGCTCAATTTTGTACGTTGTGCAAAATTTGATGTCAACCTGACTAGCATGAAGAGTTTGATGTCCAATTTACTTAAAATCGGGCGAAAATATATATGGAAGCTCTATCCAAATATATCGAAGGATATATAGGGACTTTGGTGCACCATTTACATGAAATCGGACGAAACTATATCTGAATCTGGGCCGATTTTCTCGAAACTGGGCAGACATCATTCTAGGCTCAATTCAGTACGTTATGCCAAATTTCCTGCAAATCGAAAGATATATAGGGACTTTGGGGCACCATTAACATGAAATCGGACGAAACTATATATGGGAGCTATATCTAAATCTGGACCGATTTTCGCGAAACTGGGCAGACATCATTCTAGCCTCAATTCAGTACGTTATGCCAAATTTCATGCAAATCGAAAGATATATAAGGACTTTGGTACACCATTTACCTTAAATCGGAGGAAGATATATACGGGAGCTATATCTAAATCTGAACCGATTTTCACGAAACTTTGCACACATCATTCTAGACTTAATTGAGTGCGCTATGCCAAATTTCGTGCAAATCGAAAGATATATAGGGACTTTGGTACGCCATTTACCAAAAATCGGCCGAAACTATATATGGGAGCTATATCTAAATCTGAACCGATTTTCACGAAACTTGGCACACATCTTTCGTGGCTCAATTCAGTACGCTATGCCAAATTTCGTGCAAATCGAAAGATTTTCAGGGTCTAAAGTCCGTAAATCGGGCAAAAATATATATGGGAGCAATATCTAAATTTTTTTTTTTATTATCTTTATTTCAAATAATCTGAACCGATTTTTCCCAATTTCAATAGGGTTCGTCCTTGGGCCAAACAAATGAGCTGTGCCAAATTTCATCCAAATCGGATCATAAATGCGACCTGTACTTTGTTTACAATTTAACATGGACAGACGGACAGACGGACGGACGGACATGCATAAATCAATTCAGAAAGTGATTCTATGCATATTCTCAAAAGGAACCATGGGTCTATCTCGATTATTTTTGCCTGTTACAAACATATGCACAAAGACATAATACCCTGCACCACAGTGTGGTGAAGGGTATAAAAATTGCCGTCGATGATTTACTCTGTCATACTGCTAATGAACTCTCAGGCAGTTCTGAGGGAAAATTTTCCTTAGACTTCTTCCTCCATAATCTCAGAATAAAAAAACGCCGCCAGGTTCAATTCTACTCTGTCAGACTTGTTGAATAAATTATCTGTTAAAATATATTTGTTCCATTCTTCTATATTGACTACTGATTAATTAATTTAATTGTCCTTTCTTTTCAGGCCCTGTTAAGCGTTTTAAACCCCAGCTAAATCTAACGGATTGGGAACATCAAATATTGCAGTAAAAAAACCAAGCCCCATTATTTAAAATAATATTCGGTTTAAAATGCTGTTATATGATTTAGTGTAAACCCAGTAGTAGAGACACACACACAATGTAATTATTAACCATATATCAATAAATATATTTTTTAATTTTTAAAATACAAAAAAAAAAAAAAAACAAAAACATAAACTATTTCTTCTTGCATTACATGGCAGCATGAAATGTTGTTATTGTTGCCGTTTGGTTATTAACTTTCATTTTCGTTTCATATGGTTTATTGATTTTGTTGTTGTTTTTGTTATTTCTATTATGCAAATATTTACCATATTTTATTTCAAAAATAAAAAAGAAACAATAACGAAGTTGAAACGCCAACCAATAATTTATTATCAATTTTACTTTCTTTGTTGTGTTATTTTTGCGTGGATGTTTTTCTTTTGCAGTCTTTAAAGAAACAAAAAAAAAATCATTTAAAATCGTTTAAAGACAAGCAAATGTGTTGAGAATTGGCTAACCACATACCTAGCTCACTAATTTTTAAAAAAATGTTCCCTCACCCCCTCCAATAAACCGCCCAATCACTTATTGATCATGCAATTGTTTAGCACTACTCCACAGTTACACAGTTGTTGGTTGCAAACTTTGATGTTTGTTGTTGTTGCTTTCTGATGATTGATTTTTGTTTGCTACTCCATCTAGTGTTGGTGTTGTTTTTACTTTCACTATCATTAAATGTATTCATTAAATTAAACAACTATCTATGAAACAATTAACTATGCTCAGCGAAGTTGTTATAAGCGATTATTATTCTGCAATTAGTTATTTGCAAGCAATCAGCAAAGAAAGAAAAAACAATGTTTGCATTGCAACCATCATCGATCGCAGTCATCTCATGTGCGAGTTTAATCTATGCATGCAGCATGAATAAATATATTTTAATTACTTACAAGTTTCTAAGCTAAATTTGAATATTCATCAAGAGATTTTAATATAATATAAAATATTTAATTATTGTTTGACATGCCATTTAGCAGTAAGAAGACTTATTTTCCACATGGTCTTCTCTGAAGTGATCTATGTTTCATTCATTAGAAGAAAAATTTATTAGTCATTTATTAAACTTCTATATGAAGACCTATTGGTATTCCATATTGATAATTAGGCCTATTGGTCTTCTATAAAGGGTGGCGTAGGGGATGATAGATACCAAGCAACGGCTCTGATTGGCTTTAACATGGCGAAGTCTAGGCTTATCTTGGTCCCTCTTTCATCTCAATTGTGGACACTGACCTGGGGAGCTATTCTCATCACCCGATGAAATAGTGAGCTAATATGTGCAGCGAGTTCACCCATAAGAACTATAAAAAAATGGGCTGAGGCGTCGGGTTAGTTGCCCACTCTGGGAAAACCTAACCTACTATGAAAAAGCTAAGAAAAAGAAAACCAAACCCCCCTAATGTTGACGACCCCCGCAAACGTATAAAGGACCACGATCTGCGAATCTGCACTTGGAATGTGCGCACGTTGTACAGAACAGGCGCAGTATATGCTTTGGCGAATGTACTCAAGAAGTACAAAACCTTACAGGAAATGCGATGGAAAGGGACTGGCGTAAGTAAATCAGATGATTACGGCCTGTATTATAGCTGCCATGAAACGAGACATGAATTTGGCTGCGGGTTTATGGTTAACAGGAGAATAAAAGACCTTGTCTCCAGATTCACTCCAGTAGATGAGCGAATTGCTATAATCCGTATAAAAGCGAAGTTCTTCTACATCAGTCTCATTTGCGCCCGTGCTCCGATCGAAGATAAAGATGAACAGACCAAAGACATATTTTACGAGCGCCTAGAAACAGCATATGGTCGTTGCCCTGGCCATGACATTAAAATTCTGCTAGGAGATTTTAATGTAAAATTCGGAAGGGAAAATATATTGGGCCCCACCGTCGGAAAATTCAGCCTTCATGAAGAAACATCCGACAACGGCATGAGATTGATTGACTTCGCGGCAGCAAAAAACATGGTAGTAAACAGCACCAGATTCAAGCATCTCAATATACACAAGGCCACCTGGATCTCTCCTGATCAAGCAATGAGAAATCAAATTGATCAAGTTGTGATAGACGGAAGGCATTCATCCAGTGTTTTAGACGTCCGATCGATCCGGGTACGCAGCAAAGGTGCGATCTAACACAACACGGAAACTCGATGTCGAAAAGCGGCAAACACAAAAGGTAGCCGACCTACTCCGCTCAACTTACCCATCTGCTTGAAGAAAGAACTTCTTGTCCCGATAATAGTATAGAATCACAATGGCAAAGAATTGCCTACTCCCTACAAACTGCAGCAAAAACAACACTTGGGTACCAAAAACCACCACCAAGAAACCCCTGGTACGACCAGGAGTGTCGTAATGCTACTGATGTGAAAAACGCAGCGTATAGGGCAACCCTGCAGACAGTAGCAACACGTAACGTGATGGTGAATTATCGGGAGGAAAGGAGAGAGGAGAAACGTGTTTTCAGAAAAAAGAAGAGAGAACAAGAAAAACGTGAGCGTGAGCAAATCGAGATCTCCTGTACATCAGAATGAAGTCCGGAAATTTTACCAACGAGTAAAACACCAAACCGAAGGCTTTGGTTCAGGCACATCCCCCTGTAGAGATGAAGAAGGAAACATGGTGACAGATACAGACAACGTGTTGAGGATCTGGAAGGAGCATTTTGAAAAGCTTCTGGTATCAAATAGTGGCGGTGAAGAAGATACCCCAAAACCAATAAGAGATGGAGGGTATAGACTGTATACCACCTAGCCAAGATGAGGTCATAAAAGCAATTAATCGGCTCAAGAACAATAAAGCAGCAGGAGCCGATGGGTTACCAGCCGAACTATTCAAGACTGGTGGCCAGATGCTGGTCAGGAACATGCGACAGCTGATTGGTACAATTTGGCTAGAGGAATGCATGCCCAAAGATTGGAACCTCAGCATCCTGTGTCCCGTGCACAAAAAGGAGACAAGACGATATGTGCCAACTATAGAGGAATAAGTCTCCTTCCCATCGCATATAAAGTGCTATCCAGTGTGCTGTGTGAACGACTGAAGCCAATGGTCAGTGACATCATTGGACCATACCAATGCGGCTTCAGACCTGGCAAATCCACCATTGACCAGATTTTCACTCTGCGCCAAATCCTGGAAAAGACCCACGAAAAACACATCGACACCTTTTTGTCGACTATAAAGCCGCATTCGACAGCCCTATCCGTTCAGAGGTGTTTAAAGCCATGTCTACGTTCGGCATTCCTATACGGCTATGCAGGACAACTTTATGTGACAAAAGGTCTGTAGTTAAAGTAGGAAAGGACCTATCGGAGCCCTTCAATACCGAACGAGGATTCAGACAAGGTGACAGTTTGTCGTGTGATCCTGCTAGAAAAGGTCATACGAGACGCAAAGGTGAACAGAAATAGCACTCTTTACACCAAACAACACCAGTTAGTCGCCTACGCCGATGACATCGATATAATGGGTCGAACATTGCGAGCGGTAACAGCCACCTTTGAACAAATTGAAAAGGAGTCTTCCAAAGTGGGTCTGGCGGTAAACGGTGAGAAGACCAAGCTGATGGTATCAGCGACTACGGTGGCTAGGCCATGTTGTGCGGATGAATGAAGATGCCCCAGCTCAAAAGGCATATAAAAACGAGCCTACTGATGGTTCCCGTAGAAGGGGAAGGCCACGAATTACATTGGAAAGACTAAGTAAAAAACAACATCTTGGAACGTGGTCTTCCAAATTGGTGGACTTGTGCACAAGACCGAAGCGCTTGAAAATCTTTTATAAGCTCGGCTTATGGAATAACCGTTCTGTAACAAGCCAGCTAAGTAAGTAAGGTCTTCTATAAAAATAAGTTTTGGACTTTGATAAGAAAAACGTTTGGTCTTCTATAAGAATATCTTTTGGTCTTGTATAAGATCTATTAAGAAGAGCCTTTAGTCCGAAATGAGAATACCCAGTTGTCTTTTATGCGATGACCGATTGGTCTTCTATGAGAAGATATATTGGTCTTACAAAGCGGTATCCTAGGAGAAGCTCTTCTATGAAATCTATTGGGCTACGGAAAGACCTATTGATATTCTATGATATGATCTATTAGACTTCTATGACCAGACCAATTTGTGTACTATTGATCTTCTATAATAGGACTTCTGAAAATAACCTTTGATCTTTTACTTAGACTTCTTCCTTGATCTCAAAATAAAAATCGCCGCCGATGTCTGTCAAACTTATTGAATAAATGTTTGGTAAAGTATATTTGCTCCATTCTCTTATGTTGACTTCGAATAACTCTTCCGGCTGGAATCTAATTAAATCTACTCTGTCAATCTTCTTGAATTCTATGGGAAAACCTATTAGTCTTCTGTGGGAAGATATTTCTTAGACATTTTTATAATCTCAAATATATATTGCCGCCGATGATAATATCTACTCTGTTAGACTTGTAGAATAAAGGACCTGTTAAAGTAGTTTTTTTTTCATTATTCTATATTCCTCTGCCTGGACACTCATAACATTTGGTAGTGCGAACGCTTCCTCAGTCTTTAATGGCATTCTATAGGAAGATAAAATTTACTTCATCAGACTTGTTGAGTATAGGTCCGCTTAAAGTATAGTTGTTCCATTCTCTTATATAGTCTTCGAAACTCTCTTGGTTGGACTTTCTAAATCAAATCTTCTTGATTTGATTGTTGAATAAAGGACCAGCTAAAGTATAGTTCTTCCATTCTCCTATATTGACTCTGAATTTTTTGCTGAGGATTTTTTTGCTCATAAATCGTGGTTTCATTTTTAGTTTTAACTGTTGGTCTCCAATGACCTGGCATTGGAAGGAATATTTGTTGGCAAAGCTTAGTTTGATATGTTGGACAGTGAGTACAGAATAATTGAAGGTCATTCCAATCCTGTCAAAATGTATATCCTGAGAACGGCGACGATCACAACAAAAGTATTGTCATT